GACATGCAAATACGCACACACTTTCCCTGTGAAGTGCACACACCCAGTCGGTGGCCGGGTCACGCGCCCACACCCACACAAACCCCCGCCCCGCCACACCCCGCCGCATAGCGATCCGTCCCTGTCAGCAGCACCCCGTCCGCCCCCTCTCCCTTTCCCTGTCGGTCGGGCCATACCTTCCCGTCCCTCGTGACCCTACTTTCTCTGGTGCGATGACATCCCCACCCACCCACACCCGCCCCGCGGACCGTCTGGCTGCTGAGCCGTGCTGTGCTCGAGCTTCTCGCATATTTTACAATGTGTGAGGTGTATTTTGCTCTCAGCACTTTCATCGAAGACCTCCCATAGCTTTGAGAACGGCAAGACATGTGATTACCAAATGGCCATTTCGGACCTTCATGGCGAGTGTGTCACTTACCCGTCAGGGTGGTGGGCTGCTGGGTGGCGGGCTCGAGGTCGGCGGGCTTGGGACTGGGCGTGTCGGAGTCCGTGACCCAAGACCACGTCACGAGGGTGGCCGCCGGCGTGGTGGGCCCGGTCGTGAGCCCAGCCGTGGCTGGAGCGCCAGGACGCACGGGGTTCACGAGGTTGAGGTTCTCCTCCACGTCGTCGACGGGGCTCTTAGTGGACGACACCGACCCGATCGGAGATATCTCGTTGGATAGGATGGCGGCCTCCTCCTGCGTGGTGGCGCCCTCATCGCCGCGCTGTGTGGTCGTGGGTGCCGGCCTCGGCGTCGTGCTGGGCTTGAAGAACACGGGCTTCGTTGTGGTCGTGATCGTGGATGTTGTCGTCGTTGTTGTAGTCGGGGGCCTTGAAGAGGGAATCGTAGTCGCCGGCCTCCTGGTCGTTGACGGGCTGCTAGGCCGCGTAGGTCGAGTCGTCTGCGTTGGTCTGGGTCTCGTCGTCTGCTGCTGCGTTGTAGGTAGTGTCGTCTGCTGGGAGGATGGTCTCTTGGTGGGGTTGGTCTGAGACGTGGACGTCGGACGCTGCGTCGACGGCCGCCGCGTCGTGGTGGCGGCCGTAGGCTTTGGTCTAGGCTTGGTCGTGCCCGTCGTGGCAGAGGACGGCCTGCTCGTGGACGGGATCGCCGATGCGTTGGGCTTCGCCGTGGGTCTCCTCGTGGTCGTGGTCGGCCTGGCGGTGGGTTTGGCGGACGGCCTTTTGGTGGGCGCTGTGCCGGGAGCCGGCCGCTTGGTGGGTGACGCTGTCGCACCGCCGGGTTTCGCGGTGGGCTTCGCCGAGGGTGGCCGCGCCGTCGGCCGGGTGCTAGTCCCGGAGGCCGGCGCGGGCGCCGGTGGCTTGGCGGTGGGCTTGTAGGGCTTGTTGCTGTCCTGCACGGACTGGAACGTCGACAGCAGGAAGGACTGCTCGGTGGCGGGCGCGGGGGAGGGGGCGGGCGTGGCCGCCGCGGGCCGCGCGGACGTGAGCCCGGGCCGGGCCAGCGGCAGCGGCGTGGACAGCTGCGGGTCCTTGAGGATCACGCTGACGAGGTCCGGCGTCGGCCCCGGCGCGGCCGTGCTGTGGAACACGTGGTCGATGTGGTTCTCGTTGATGACGGCCGGGCGCTGCTGCGACGGCCGCTGCTGCTGCGCGGGCTGCGCTGACGGCGGCCTCGGCGCGGCCACCGCGGGCCGCCCGGGGATAGCGGCCTCGGCCGAGCCCGCCGAGTTGAGTGACACCTGACACAAAAATACTACATTCACAAAACTGTTTAAACAAGTTAATGATCTATGAAGACAGCAGAAAAGTCAAATCGAACGTTATATAACGAGGCACAGTTTCACAACAAAGATTGTAAAATATATTGAAAATATGCTGGAAAGCAACCTGTCATAAATTTCAAAACAGGCCTTTTTTCTGGCATTATGTCATTTATCATTCTATTTACCCATCATTAGTTAAATTTGATTCACCAGAGGCGATGGTTTACCTGATTACTGATGACGTTGTCGTTGGCCACGCTCGAGAGCGACTCGAGCACCTCCTGGTCCACCTTGCAGCACGACCCGAAGTAGAAGCGGTCGATGCAGGTGCCCAGGTGCGTGCCGTTCGCCTTCATGCACGTGTAGGCGAACATGCACACGCCCGTCTCGCCCGAGCGCCTCGACACGCAGGGCAGGTGTCTGATGTTGCGCCCCGACGTCACGCCTGCAACAAGCAACAAAACAGGCTGGTGTCAACTCTATGCGCCAAAAAATATCAAAAATTAACCCTAAGTTATTGGCAGAAAATCCTCTCCGATTTGCGCAACGACTTCCGAGGCAGCCTGTGCGTTTGCATTCGCACTTTCTTCTCGCGACAACAAGAGCCCCCCCTCAGGGCCCATCTCTCCTCTCTTCGCTTTTTAAAAAGACAAAAGCAGATGCAACAAGCAGGCCCGCCCTTCCGCCAAACGGAGTTGCCAGCTCCACTTCGCTGCGCCGGCAACTCCGTTCGGCAGGGGCCGGGCCTGCTTGGCCTGCCGGCGGCGATGGTCGGGCCTTCGGCCCGAC